GCTGTGGGGGCTGTGGGGCAGGGGGGACTACATATCCTACAGACGTGGGGTTATGGGGCAGGGGGAAAGATAAGCCATGGGGCAGGGGGGACTTTGTGTGCCTACAGACGTGGGGTTGTGGGGCAGGAGAGGGGATCAGCTGTGGGCAGGGAAAGGCACAGCCGTGGGGCTGTGGGGCAGGGAGCCCTCGGCCATGGGGCAGAGCAGCGCTATGGGGCAGAGCAGCGCCATGGGGCGGAGCAGCGCTATGGGGCAGAGCAGCGCCATGGGGCAGAGCAGCGCTATGGGGCAGAGCAGCGCCGTATCTATGGGGCAGAGCAGTGCTATGGGGCAGAGCAGCGCTATGGGGCAGAGCAGCGCTATGGGGCGGAGCAGCGCTATGGGGCGGAGCAGCGCCATGGGGCGGAGCAGCGCCGTATCTATGGGGCAGAGCAGCGCTATGGGGCAGAGCAGCGCCATGGGGCAGAGCAGCGCCATTCCTGTGGGGCGTTGGCCGGGAGGCGGAAGTCGGGGGAGGGAACGGAGCTGCGCCACCTCCGGCCGCCGGGGGGCGCCGTCGGCACCGGCGCGGCCTCCTCTTCCGGTCCGGCGGCGCCCGCTTCCGGCCCGGCGGCGCGCGGTCTCGGGCGCCCCCTCGCGGCGCCGCTGATGGCGCGGCGTTGCAGGAACGGCAAGAAGGAGGCGGAGCTGCTGGCGGCGCAGGGCCGCCTGAAGGACCTGGAGGCGCTGCTCAACTCCAAGGAGGCCGCGCTCAGCACCGCGCTGGGCGAGAAGAGGAGCCTGGAGAACGAAGTGCGCGACCTCCGGGCGCAGGTGGCCAAGGTGAGGCGGGGCGCCATGGGGCGCTATGGGGCGCTGTTGGGCGCTATGGGGCGCTATGGGGCGCTGTTGGGCGCTATGGGGCGCTGTTGTTGGGCGCTATGGGGCGCTGTTGTTGGGCGCTATAGGGCACTGTTGAGCACCATGGGGCGCTGTTGGGCGCTGTGGGGCGCTGCAAGGCACTGTTGGGCGCTATGGGGCGCTATAGGGCTCTGTTGAGCGCTGCGGGGCGCTGTTGTTGGGTGCTATGGGGTGCTGTTGGACACTATGGGGAGCTATAGGGCGCTGTTGGGCGCTATGGGGCGCTATGTTGGGTGCCATGGGGCGCTGTTGGGTGCTGTGGGGCACTGCAGGGCACTGTTGGGCGCTATGGGGCGCTATGGGGCGCTGTTGTTGGGCGCTATGGGGCGCTGTTGTTGGGCGCTATGGGGCGCTATGTTAGGCGCTATGGGGCGCTGTAGGGCACTGTTGGATGCTATGGGGCACTGTTGGGCGCTATGGGGCACTGTTGGGTGCTATGGGGCGCTAAGGGGCACTATTGGGTGCTATGGGGCACTGTTGGGTGCTATGGGTACTACTGGGTGCTGCTGAGCACAACTGCACAATGGGGCACGATGGGGCACTGGGGGAGATGTGTGGGGCTGGGGGATGTGTGGAGCTGTGGGGCTGGGCTGTGGATCTGTGGGGCTGTGGCTGTGGGGCTGGGCTGTGGGGCTGGGCTGCAGCGCGGTCTGTGTGCAGCTGGACGGCGCGCTGGGCGAGGCCAAGAAGCAGCTGCAGGACGAGATGCTGCGGCGCGTGGATGCCGAGAACCGCCTGCAGACGCTGAAGGAGGAGCTGGAGTTCCAGAAGAACATCTACAGCGAGGTGGGGCTGAGCACCACGCGCCGCCACCCTCTGCCCCACAAGTGGCGCCGCGCGCCCCCCAAGCGATGCCATGTGTCCCCTAAGTGATGCCATGTGTCCCCCATGTGCCCCCCAAGTGACACCGTGTGTCCCCCATGTGCCCCCCAAGTGACAGCGTGTGCCTCTGAGTGGCACCATGTGCCCCCCATGTGTCCCCCAAGTGGCACCGTGTGCCCCACAAGTGAGGCCATGTGCCCCCCAAGTAACACTGTGTGCCCAAGTGACACCGTGTGCCTCCCAAGTGATGCCATGTGTCCCCCAAGTGACACCATGTGGCCCTCAAGTGACCCCATGGGGAAGTGATGCCGTGTGCCCCCCAAGTGACAGTGTGTGCCCAAGTGACACCGTGTGCCCCCCAAGTGCCCCCCAAGTGATGCCGTGTGTCCCCAGGTGGTGCTGTGTGCCCCCCGAGTGATGCCGTGTGCTCCCTAAGTGATGCCGTGTGCCCCCCATGTGCCCCCAAGCGATGCCGTGTGCCCCCCAAGTGACGCCATGTGCCCCCCGCCCGCAGGAGCTGCGTGAGACGAAGCGGCGGCACGAGACGCGGCTGGTGGAGATCGACAACGGGAGGCAGCAGGAGTTCGAGAGCAAGCTGGCCGAGGCGCTGCAGGACCTGCGCCGGCAGCACGAGAACCAGATCCGGCTGTACCGCGACGAGCTCGAGAAAACGTACGGCGCCAAGGTGAGCGGGGCTGTGGGGCTGGGGTGTG